TCCTCCTTTCCTTCCTTTGTATTTTTTGTATTAACATAAGAATTGGAATTTGAGCCAAAAAAGGAGATATATGAATGTCCATTTTCCGCCATGATAAAATTGTTCTCTTTAATACCTAAAATACTTCAAACGACAAGAACCCTGAGGAGAAGCCATTTATGAATGATTGATCTTAAAATTAAAAGAAATTCCCTGATAATAATATCACTCAGTGCAATGATTTCTGCCCCAACATATATGCCCTGTACCCCTGTAACCTCACAATGCCCTTTAGTGGGCAGCCTACCTGTTGGAATCATGGCCCAGCTGTTCACCCGCTGGGGGTGCATTAACCAGCCCCTTCCCCTCTCTAAGGACGGTTTGCTCATTTATAAATAATAGTGAAATTATAATATTTCAATACTACTATTTCAATAATAGTATTGAAATTATTGACCTATTGGGACTATGAAACAGGATGATGCACATCAAGTATCTAGAGTAATTCCTGACACAGTAGAAACAGTTCATACAAGTTTGATCCACAAGAGGTTTTGCTTTGTTTTTGCCAAAAGCTAAGCACGTCCACGCCTTTTTGCAGAATCAGGTGCTATGGAACCTGATTTCAATCTATGTTTTCCCATCTATAATAACTGTATAAATTCAGGTAAGCAAACCACCTTTTCTCCTCCAATAAAAATAGGATAAATATCTTTAACTTCCCGTCTGGTCCCTACTGACTCCCTAGAGATGTTAATAAATTTCAGAAATTAAAGAGAAATATATTAGAGCAAAGAAAGACTATGTTCCTTTTTTATTATTTGATTTGGTTTAATAAAATGCATATATTTGAGGTTAAAAACATGATGATTTGATATGTGTATATATAGTGAAATGATGACTAGTCAAGCTAATTAGCATATCTTCTCACATAGCTATTATTTTGTAGGTGTGATGAGAGCACATGAAATATACTCTCTTATTGTATTTCCAGTACTCAATACCTTATTTTTATTATAGTCACCATGCTGTACATTAGGTACTATGTTTTTTATTGCTTATCAGGAATCAGAAAACAAAATTTATTTTAACTCTTCTCTCACACCCTTTGTCTTTTTAATAATTTTATCAGGAACATGGTTATATGTTGATCCCATGAGCTGGTATTTCTTTTACTTAAAAAAGAGGAGGGCGTAGTTTTCTAGTCCTAACTTGCCTCCTACCTCACGCTTAGCATAATAGAAATACATTTTTACCTAATTTATACAGAGAAAAATGTATTTTTATTGTGGTAATATGTCTGTGTAAATAATAGCCAAATGGATTAATATTTCCTCAAACTGCACATTTGTTGAATAATACCAGGTACGTCTAAGGCGCTGCCTTCCACTTATAGATGAAATCAGTAATCTATCTCAATGCAGTCAAATTTATGCCTCTATCTTCTCTTTCCTTTTAAATGCATGCTGTTTGTTTTACAAAGCCTTAGTACCCATGCTTCCTTGTGTTCACATTTTTTGCTCATAAGAATGGTTCCAGTATTTTATAGTACATGGATGTGTTCAACTTATCAGCAAATACTTTTAAAACTGCTTGACCTTTTCACTTTACATTCTCTTTTCTCCCTTCCTGCCAACCTATATGTAGGAATAACATTAGTCTTCAGATAAACATACAGATCAGATGCATTACAACCTCGAAGATTTTGTGTCTCAACAAAGTGTGATTCCATTTAAATCACTGAGGCATGGTACTCCAACTTGTGCCAGTCATCATCGTTTCACTTCCTGCTTTACTGGAAAGAACTTGCTAATTTGTAATATTTGTAGTATTTCTATCTATATCTGCCAAATAAGATTCATTAATATTGCTTTCACATTTTTTGTGGCTTTGTATACAAAAGGATGGGACAGGGAGACCAATGTAAATCAGCTGACCAACTGATTTAACTAAATTTCGATTTGTATTTACTCCTTAAAATTCAATTGCTCAAGTTGATGTTTTTCTCAATAAAATTTATTTATGTAAGTAGAAAAAGTCATAGGTTTGATCCCGGCAGAAATTAGGACTTGTGGATTTCTATTATACAATTTTAAATAGCAACAGAAAGGTTAAAAACCAAAACTACCCAGTTATTCACTCATGTACAGCAGCGATTTTCAATCGTTGTGTCACAAGAATTTTTAAAACATGCAATACCTGACTATTTAGTCAGGGGTACTGACCTCTTTTCCCTTATATTGTCAAATAAAAAAAAAAAATGATAACAGCCAACACAACAATAGCTGTTCAGTGTGAATGAATCAAAATTATACTTTTTTTGTCAGATTGGCAAAAAATATATTTTTGTGTGTGCATCAGAATTTTAGTAATTAGCATATGTGTACCCTGAAATGAAAAAGGTTGGAAATCACTGATGTATAGGTTTATTTTAATCTCACTGTTTACATAACATATTTGTATAATGATAAATAATTTGGGTCCTCATTGGGCTTCATTGACTCTCAAAACTTTGATTTATCTGACTGTGCTTTTTAAAAATCTTCTCAACATACTCTAAAAAAAGACTATAAATATAAGTATCCACCTTTCTTCTCCAGATTTTTTAAAATTCATTTTCTCAATCTACCAATCTATTAATCTTGATCAATTTCCGTTAGTTCAGTCTAATGCACCAGTGGCCCTTTGAGAAACTAGTCTTCAAAAGAAGGCTATCCCATGCATTCTACTATCATTGTCTTTCTTCATTTACACATCTGGTCTGCTCTCCCCTTCCATCCTTTGATTTTTTGACAGGCTATGCATTATGGTAGTAATCGGGTCCATCTACGATATGTCCATCTACAACCAGGGAGCTAAGACACCCAAGGATGTCCTCCGAAGATTTATGTGGAAATGCAGGCTGTGACTCTCCCCTGCCAGAGGACGGGACACAGCTTTCCCTGACCCAGCGCGTCTAAGAGGGGCTTTGGGGTGCCCGGGCAGCGGGCAGCAGGGAGGCAGGCTATATTCTCCGCATTCGGACAACCTCATTCTTTCAAACGGCTCCCACAATGCTTGCAGATGCCTGAGTCGGAAAGAATTTCCAGACACTTTTGCAGATTTCACATTCCCTCCAAGCCCCACACCCCGTTCTGCACATGTGGCATTTCCCCAAAAGCATGACACGCTGAAGAACAGAGCGTAGGCAAAACCTCAAGTTTCCCTATTGCCCCAAACCCCTGACCTTCTAGACGGTGCTGAAACCCTGCCGCAATCAACCTCTACAGCCTGCTTATCCCGCCGATCGGTCCCCGCTTACACATTTGAAAAAGTCCAGGGAAGTTTGTCCTCTTTTGAAATCTCAGCTTCCCGGGTCATGAAACTGTCCTTCTCCTTATTGTAGGCAGATTTGTGTTTCACTCAATTCCATATCCAGCCATCTACTTCGTAGTTAGGCACACCATGAGGCATAATACCTTGAATGTATTTATTGCGCTGTTTTCTTTCTTGCCCTCCCACAAGAGGATATATAGAAGAGAACTGTTGTCATTACTTATTTTTATTCCTCCTGCCTACATCCAAAGAATTTCCCAACTAGTCAAGTTGAAGCACACACGTCCTTGCAGAATTGCCACACATTCCCCTCTATCCAGCCACTTCCCCCTCCGTTCCAGAGACCAGTGCACCGACGCTGACACATGGACGTTCTCCTTGTGAGAATTAGCCTATCACATTCATTTACATCCACTTAATTGCTGCTGCTATTGTTTAGTCCGTTAACCTCCAGCTAGGGTGCAATTCACGGGAACGCTGGGGAAGCACAACCGTTTGATTAGTTCTGCAAAGCAGATTAAAATCTTCTGGCTAATTGGAGACTGTCCATACTACTGCTTTCTTTCCTGCTCTAGGTTGAGCAAATGTCATGTCTGCCAGGGAGGCCTCTTAGTTGGGCTACGGAAGGTCTGACTGGGCCCAGTAGCATTTTCTGAGCATGTTGGTGTACAGGACACTGCGCTGGGCATTCTGCCAGCAATTATCACCAATCTGGTCTCCGCCTGCAACCTGTAACTAGTCTTTTGGTTGGCAGCTTGCCTTCTTCCTTTTCAGGAAGGAGCACACGGACTCTGGAGAAACTCCAACTTGGTATGTGGCTAAATCATTAGTATCCCAAATGCGTAGGAATTTCATTTTGAAACATAAGCACTAAGAAAAACCCTTATGAAACAGTTTTCTAGTTTGGGGAAAAAATGGGAATTAAGAATGTGACAGTCTCGTTTGACTCAAAGCATAATGCCATGTTTGACATCGCTCATTTATTTAGAACCTATCACTGATGGGATGGCAAGCACGCTTTGGCAACGACGTCACAAAGCTTTCCTTGGCAACATGTCATCACCATGCATACATTAAGCTGAGGTGTTTTAAGATGTTTAATTGAATTTTATCTAAAGAATATGGGAAGCTTCCATATCCACTACAGGAATTCTAATGCAGTAGGTCAAATTTCTTCATTTAATCTAAACTGCCTGTCCCAATGTGGTTTCAGTCAACATCTCTAGCACATTTTCTGAATGTATCCTAACATCCATCCACTAAAAACTGGTGACCCTTCCTCAAATGCATTATATTTTTAATGGTTTGGTGTCTCTTATATTGCTGTTCTGGCTACCTGGGGTTTGTTACAAGAATTATGGACACATGTAGGAAGACGTGCTTATGTTGACCTGAGAAGTCATCATAAGAAATGATCTAAAAAACATACCAGGCGCTTTACATCAATTATATCACCTAATCATCCCAACAGACATGTCAGGATGGTCCCCTTATACCTGCTTTCTGATGGGCTGAAGCTCTGAAAGGTTGAGTGACCTGTGTGAGGTGATACAGTATGTAACAAAACACTGACTTGAAATCCAGTTCTTTATGATTCCAAACCTAGTTCTTTCCTCCTGCCTCAGCAAGGTGTTCCTAAGAAGAGAGAAATCTTGAGCTGCAGCTTGAAGAAGGTATAAGTCAAGGTATTAAATAAGGAAGACAACATTTCCAGAGAGGAGCCCCCCCGTCTTACCAGATGTGGGTGGTGGGTATAACATCACTGAGAGGCTGATAGAGGCTGAGGAAGAAGGGTGACAGACATTGTTAAGACCATGTGACATCTTAAACTGGCCCCATGCACTAGCTGGAGAATCCCAAACAGCTTGTGGAGACAATGAGGGAGACACTGAGACTGACTAGGGATCCAGGAGGCCTAGGACTTAAAGACCATGCTGCTGACTTTCTCCTCCAAAGATGCCAAACAGGAAAGCATTTCATTACATTGTCTGTGAAGGCTGCAGAGGTGGTAATTACACAGTAGCTCATAAAGTAGACACCTTAGGACAAAATAATTTGGCTGACTCATCAGCGTTGTGTCCTTCTCACCTCTGTTTTTTCTTTCCATTGCACCAAAAAGGAGATGAGTCAGAGAGAGAAGAAAATACCTATTTGGGATAAAGTCACAAAGGATTACCTCTAACATTTGAAGGGCCTGGTGGAAGAATATCAAGGGAGGCTCACATACCATATGTCAAAATATCATTACATATCAAGTTAGCAAACTTCCGATTAAAATAAATTCTATTCTATTAACTTGATTAATATACTGTCTTAATAACCTAGATGTTTAGGTGTCAATTTAGAATCTATGGGCTCCCTGGAGTTCTATGCTAGAATTGGCAGAAGAGGAAAAGTCTTACTCCAGCCCGTCTCACCTCCTGTTCTCCCCATTCTTGCACTCTGCGAGTTCTCACGTGTGTGAGCATTCAGTCTGCACCCAGCTCTCAGGGGTGCAGAGGATATTGGTAAGGTCCAGCCCTAAAAGGACAGACAAAAGGAAAGACCTGCACAGACCCTGGAAGTGGTTTGGGAACATTACACAGGAATTTGGGGGTCTAGTAAATCCAGAGTATGTCCTAGGTGGGGGCAGGTTTCAGAATCTAGTTGGGAAAGTCCCTTGTTACCTTGGACGTCTGACCTCTTAAGGAGAACCAAAAAGTACCCGAGAAGGAACAAAATGGGCCTGGCAAAACACAGGGCTCAAGACAATGGTGACTTTGGCCTACATCTAAAAAATGTATTGCACATAGTAGTATAAAAAATGCCTTCTTACAACCCAAGTATCCTATTTTGGCACCAAAGTTCCTCTTAGGTCTTCAATAGGCACATAGCATTGCACAGCCTTACATGAATCTTTCATATCAGAGTGCATGCCAGCCCTACACGAGGCAAAGTCAAGTTTTCAATGAGTCCTGAAAAAGTAGTTGCAATTTTTAAAGCTAATCTTTAAATTTTCAAGTAGCTAAAGGCCTTTTAAACTCTCATGCAGTCTACATTGTCTACACCTACCAGCTCGTACATGAAGATTCAAATTGCCATTAAATAAAGTCAAAATTTTGAGATTCAGTTTAATTTCTCCATTGCCAACACACATGGACACACTCACGCAGTGTTTAACTGCCTATTCAATACTGTACTAATTAAAAGTAGCATTCACCAGCAATTTGAGCCTAAGAAGCTGGTCCTCTGCCTTAGCCTACTCATCTGGCTGTGGGGTTGGCTCAATTAGAAAACTCTCAGTCCATTCAAACTAGAGATCTTCCTTCTGCAAACTCACTGCAGCCTTAGGCTCCATATCACATCTACCCTCCTTTAGCCCCAGTGGATAAGTCTCTTGGAGAGGATCATTTCTGTTAACCAAACTTTAACTTCTTTTTCCAGATCCTTAAAATGATTTGACTGAATTTCTTGAAGCTTTTGTTTGTAAAGGTTGTATAATGTCAATTCTCTAGGGATGGGACTTGGAAAAGGGAATGAAACCCAGAGCCTTTATTCTGAGTGTGTGAGGAAACACTTTTATCACTAAATATTTCATACAATGGTATTATAGCCATTTACCATGTTCGTTTTATCCAGAGGCTGGACACAATTTCTTCTTGTTCTGAGAACTGCTCCTAAAATTATACCAATAATAATCAATAGCATCTATCTAGAGCCTAACATTGTGCTAATGTTCCACACATTGTGTTTGGTATTTTTCATGAGTTTGTTTCTACACCTATACTGACCTTATAAAATGGTGATGGTTGTTTTTTCTCATTATTACTATTATTGTTCCTGTTGTTGTGATTATTGGTATTAGTATTATAAAGATGAGGAAACTGAGGCTTGGAGAAGCTAAGTGACTTGTCCAAAGTCACGGGGCTAATAAATTGCACAGCCCTGAGCCAAAAGCAGACATGATGACACACTTCAGAGGCCTTCTGCATCATGACACAAATACCCAGTGGCATTTGTAAAGCAAATTTTAGGAGACATAAAGAGGAGACAAATATTCTCCTGCCTCTTAAGTTCTTAACTTGTAGGAAATTTAAAGAAGGAGGCCATAACAAGGTGGAGTAACAAGGACTATATTTTCCCTCCCACCTAAAACAAATTAAAAAAAATTATAAATATATATACATATATATACTACTTATATGTGTATATATATACTATAAATGTATATGCTATATATGTGCATATATACATACTATATATGTGTGTGTATATGTATATACTATATATGTGAGTATACACACACACACAGTTTTCAAGACATTGGATATTAAGAAACTAAAGTGAGTGATATCTGAGAGATGGGAATCAAATGAGATGAGCCCTAAGATTGCCTACTTTATTCCCTTAAGAGTATTCTTAGGCTACCATGTAAAAGGCAAACCACTCTATGCATAGGTATTTACTCAATAAAAATAAAAATGTATGTCCAAACAAAAATAAAAATGTATGTCTTGCTCCTGATGTTTCTAGCAACAGCTACATAGCTCAGAACTGGGAACAATGCACATGTGCAAATAAGATGTGGTATATCTATGCAATGGACTAGCACTTGGCAGTGAAAAGGAATAACTTGATATTTGCAACAAATAGATACATCTCAAAATAATTATACTGAGTAAAAGGAGCTAGATGAAAAAGAGAACATGCTATATCATTTCAATTTGTATAAACGTCGAGAAAACGCAAATGAATCTAAAGTGACAGAAAGCAGATCAGTGGTTGCCTAAGCACAGGAAAGAAGGGTGACAAAGAGACACAAGGAAACTTTGGGGGTGATGGATATGTTCATTATCTTGACTATGGTGATGGTTTTATAGGTGCATATATGTGTCAAAACTTATCAGAATTTACACTTCAAATATGTGCAGTTTGTGGTATGTCAAGTATGCCTCAATAAAGCTGTTTTTTACAAAACCAGAACAGTTTAAAATAACCAGATGAAAGGTTTCTATCTTGTTTGTGCTTTCGTTTTAGTTTCTTATCATAGAATACTGCTTCATCAGAGCAGATGTATAATTTATCTTGCTCATTTTGGATCTCCAGTGCCTAAAATTAGGAGTTCCCATTACTTATTTTGAGTGACAAACTACCCCAAAATGCAGTGGCATAAAATGACCATATGTCATCTTCATGGATTCTGTGCATCAGAAATTAGGGCAGAGTGGGGATGGCTTTTCTCTACTCCATAATGTTTGGGGTCCCAACCAAACTGCTGGTGACCCAAAGCATTGGGGCTCCCTTTAATGACCGGAAAGTACCTTTATGTGGTAGCTCCAGCCTGGAGGGTCCAGGTCAGCCAGACTCCTTATATATCAGTTCTGGGCCTTTAAGTTCTGACTCCCAAGATGGAAAGCCAAGAAGAAACTGTGTCACCTTCTTGTGACCTAGTTCCAGAAGACACAAGGGTCACATCCACAACATTATTTTTAGCTGAAGCAATTACAAAGATTTGCCCAGGTTTAAGGCGAGACAACATAAACCCCACTTTTCAGTGGGGGAATTCTCAGCCTATTTGTCAACATTTTAAGGAAAGCATGTGGGTTGTAATATATACTAGTTGGTTTAGACACCTTAGAAAAAATCAGTCTGCTACACAGTGTTTATGTCATGTAAATGAATATATGAACAGGAGTCAGTTGTTTCAACTTGATTTGCAGTTTTACGTGTTACATAAAATTAATTTCAGGCATTCATTCATCCCACAGACAGTTAGAATGCATCTTTTTATACAGTATAGATTCAAGGAAAAATACTATAGCCTACACCTTGGATGAAAAACTTACATTTCAATATGGTAAACATATGAGAAAAGAAAAAAATATCGATAATGCAACTTGCCATAGAAGGTTGATATCTCAGGGAAGGTGTTTAGTGCTGTCCAGGTGTTGAGGGCAGAGACTAATATCAGCTGAAGAAATCAGTAAATGCTGCATGGATGTGAGCTGCTAGGACTAAGACTTGCATGATCAGTAAGATTTCTATGGCAGGTGCTAGGAGGCAGATGCTGAAAATAAGGAAATAAGCAGAAAAGTTTGATTCAAGGAATTGTCCAAACCTAGCACATTATCTGAAACTACAAAAACCAGGTTACAGCGATAGATTCTACACCCCACTTCCAAGATGTCCCAATTTATTAAATGCCTTCCCCCCAACCCCATGAGAAATTTTTACGAGTAATCTGATGTTGGAACCACTCACATTTAGGGCTTAGGCAGGTGACAGTAAAGATATCCATAATAAAAGGTTGGGACCAAAGCACAGAGGACGTGGAATATGCCTCAATTGGTCTTCCATAGGATCTGATGATTAAATGCCACTTGTATTAATTAATTTATCACAACACTACCCTTTCCAGCTAAACCCTGCACAATGGTGACAAACCAGATTACGAATCAGTAAATGATAAACAACAGCATGATTACTTGATGATGCAAAGACAAGCTCACAGTATACCTTTAAATTGTAATATTTTAAATATGGAATTTTAAAGTCAGGAGAAAATGTAGCAGCCTTTAAGTAATTTACCTGTGGTCACAGACCCATTTATTTCTTCCCTAAAAGTATGTGTGACATTACTGGTAGACACCCTTGGATTCTATGTGAAGCAGACCATGAGAGCTGGTTTCACAAGAATAGTTTTATTAGATAAATATTTTGTGATTTGGGACGGAAGGTGCCTTCTACACATAAGATGTTCTACCTATCATATTGCTGTCGTATCATTTATAAAGCAAGGATTCTTCGTATTACGTTTATGTACTAGTAGATTTGGGCAGTTCTATGGTTTTCTTTGGTACATGATTTATTGTGTTAACTAATCCTTTAAAAAAAATCCATAATAAGTAGACAAATTGACATTTGTCCAGCCAGACAGTACTGCATGAAATCTGTGTTCGTTTGCGGAAAGTGAAAGCTGTGTGAGAAATGCAATCACCATTGGCCAGTTTTGAATAGCTAAGCCTGTTCTTTGCCAACATTTCTAATCTCTAATTAGGATTGTAGGCAATACTTTTTACCCCCTCTCTCTCTCTACTCCCATCCCTCTCTCTCTCTCAATGGCATCTGTGGGTCTTTTTTGATAACGAATACACCAAGGGGACTCAGAGTTAAGTCCTAGCCTCAGAACTAGAAACATTTCCATCAAAGATGGTTTGTTAATAATAAAGTAAGGAAGAAAAAAAGCTATTTGCTTCTTTTGTAGCTCTGACCCTCCCTTGGTCCTGCCAGGCCTGTCTGAGCATCAGCAGAGTTCAGTGGTAATTAAAGCAACAGTGTTGTGAAAAAAGTGTGAATTACTTTTACAGGCAGACTTGGATGCTGCTAGCGACTGACACAGCACAGCGGGGGGCTCTGCTGGATATTAAAGAGTGATGGTCGTCCCTGTGTTGTAAGGTGGCTTTTCAGCACAATACAAAATTATGACTTTTCACAAGTTGATATCTCTGGAACCATTCGAGTTATCAGCTTAAAATTTAGATTTTTTTTTCTTCCTTTGGCAAGGTTATGGGACAAAACTATGTCACATTTCATGAGAGGTGGTATGGCCGTTGTAATGATGAAGAGCTAAAGTCTATTTTCTTTCTTTTCTTCCTTTGGATTTTTAACTCTATTATGGAATTATATCAGCCTTGAAGATCACTGAAAAGAGAGAGGAAAAAGCTATAAAGGATCATACATCCAACCTTTGCTTGGCAAGTTATTTCAATGTCAACTACCTCGGCTCTCTGTTTCTGTCATTTTTAAAAAAGAAAGCAGCCCAGCCCAGCACTCTGTTGACAATGCCAAGGAATGCCAACTCTGCACTCTCAACTTGGATATAAATACCCACATGGGTGGTGAGCTCCCTCCACCAGGCCCGGCCAGGGAAGGCTCTGATCTCCCTCTTTATCGCGGCAAATCTTGTTGAGCCGACTCCCACACAGGTATGATATAATGTGGATTCTGCTCCTTAGCCAGTTAGGAGGAAAAAATGTCTAGCCAAATCCAATAAACCACTTTCTGCAGATGTGGAGCAGGAGAATAAACTAGCTCCACGGGCTGTGAATCACTTTTCACTGTATAAACTAACGGGCACCGTCGCTCCTCCTGACCCAGGCGCCTCGAGCACGCGTGGACTTCTGTGCAACGGCACCGCCGCGGGGCCGGGCAGCCCGTCTTGGCGTCGCGCGGGATAAAAGGCCGCCGAGAGGCAGTGGGGACCATGTGGCTCATGGGAGCCTGGGTTCATGATGTATTTCTGATGTAAATGAGAAAAAACATACTGGGCAGTATGCGTGTGTTCTTCATTGGTTATCACCTTCTTCCTTAAGTAAAGTTGATAAGGGAAATTCCTGCTCTTGCTGTATTTTCAGTCACCTGCCCCATCCGAAGCAGTGGGTCACTTTGGGTGTCAATGACACAGCAGAGCAGGAAACAGTATATTCGGGTGGATAACAGAACAGATGTTGGAGCCCCAATGTCCTCACTTACAGACGGTGCGACCCCAATTTCCTTATGTGTAAAAAGGGTGTAATCACCATTCCCACCTTACTTTAAAAATTAAGTAGATTAAGATATAAAAATTGTTTAGCAAAATGTCATAGGCCTGGCCTATGGAAAGCAATTGATAAAAGCTGTTACTGTCGTCACCATCATCATCATCAACAGCAAACTCGGTGCTGACCCGAGGAATGCAGGTGAATCTGGGAATTCCCTCTGCTTTTAGATATACTGGTCCTGTCAGATTTGCCGAGCAGTGGGGGTAATGTTTTGAAAGTCGTGCAAGGTTACAGAATGATATTTAGGGCTGACGCTGTGGCATGCCAGACAATGGACTGCTCACACAGACAACAATGATGTAAACAGAATAACTGGGGTGCTCCAAACGACCTTCTTTCACCCCACTAGTGCAAAGTTTAATTAGTATGTAAATAGCATACTCATTTACAATTGACATAATGCCACTGCTTTTCATGCCAAGCTGTCAAGGCCCATGAAACTGCAAAATTCCTGACACTAAACATTTGTTGTAAACTGATCTTTCCAAAAGTAACGTAACTGAAGGATTGAAAAGGTGGGAAAGGTAATAATTACTTTTTTGAAAAAAGCCACTTCTCCTTTCTTTCTTTCAGAGAAAAGGGTCCAAACTGCTTTTGGGGAGAGATACACCCCATTATATTGGACTGCCGGTAAATTCTGTAAAAGAGAAAAAAATACATATGAACCACCAACCCCAGAGTGATGAAAAGCAAAACGGGTGAGGAAAAAAATACCCTCAATTGACACAGCTATTTTCATCACATCAAATCAGCCATCTGTTCTTGACATAGTTTATTATCATTAGGAAGATTTTCTCAATTCAGACATGGTGATGAGGAAAGATGAAGAATTAACCAGATAAATAGCCAATTTGGAAAATTCAGGCTGAGACCCTTTTCCTCAATTTCCATCCCATCTTTTCTCCCTGCTCCATCATCACACTCCGATTATTCCAAGAAAAGCTTCAATGACATGATTAGACATGTTTATGGTATTGTTGGTTTTCTCCCATCTGTACAGGAATAACAAACTAACCACCCTAGGTATCACACGACACAGAGGTGATCGACATTGCACAAAAAATAATAATAATTTTCCATTGTTAAAAATCACTGTGTAAACTTAGAATGGCAGGTGGCTACAGTTAAGGGTGAAGGAATTTAAATACTTTGAATTGCAGTATAAAAATGCTGATGTTTTCCTCCCGGAATTTATTCATTAGAAATCCATCAATTTACCTTGGGATAAGAGTGTTTAGAGAAGAACACTTTCTATGAAATAATCACAGAGAAATTCCAACAGCTCTGTGTGGGGTAATCTGTAAGTATAAGTAAATGTGGGAAACTAATAATACAAAGAAAATACTTAAGTCGTCTATTTAATATTGACTTCATAAAGTGAAGTTAGAAATTCACAAAAGTTAAGCTCATAAATTTAGGGAAAAATAGCCCAGAATGCTTGACAAATATCAACACAATTACTTTAAAAAAATTAGTCAAGCTGCTTATTTTATCTACAGAATGTCAAAAAAACAAGTGTGACTGATTCTCCTTCAAATAGTTCACAAAATCATGATGTTAGATTTTTAACTATCTAATACACACATTTTGGATTATAATTAATATCATATCTCTTTGACTGACATTTAAAAAATATTAAGGACAGTAACTATTGAAATTAAACCATGCAAATGCCTTCACAAAGTTACTTCCATCCTGACACCCGGGTTATTCTGTGTGAATACATCCTTTCTTCCATAACATTCCCATGATCTTATTTTTATCTTGTACACCTCAGTATCTGACTCGTTACTCATTGCCCTAAAAAATTACAACTCTTCACTCTCCATAATCTACCAGTCATCGCTGTTGCTAGACTTTGTTGACACATTCTTTTCTCGATTTCGTCTATGCCATGCAATCTTGTTCGTGCTCGTAACACTTAGATTGCTCTTGGTTTTCTTTGTTCCTCAAAGTTAAATGTAGACACTCATCAATTAAAGAAATGACCGCTAAGAACCTACTGTGAGCCAGGTGCCCCGTCAAGTGCTGAAGATACAGTAGTGGGCCAACCAGACACCACCCTTGCCCTTATGGAACTTAGGTTTCTAGACCAGAGGTCAGCAAACTTAAAGCCCTTGGGCCAAATGTAGCCAGCCACCTGTTTTTTTTGTAATAATTTTTATTGAAACACAGCCAGGAAAATTCATTTACATATTATCTATGGCTGCTTTTGCTCTACAATGGATTAGTTAAGTAGTTGCCACAGAGGCCTTTGGCCCACAAAGCTTAAAATATTTACTCTCTGGCCCTTTAGAGAAAATGTTGGCTGACCCTGGTAGACTCCAGATCCATCTTCAACTGTTCCAGCTCTGTATTTTTCTCTCTTAGAGAGAGCAGTTTTGCTCTCTTGTAACTTTAATTACTTCTACAGAAATGACTCTATAACCTCTCTCTATAGTCATGCCCTCTATTTTGAACGTCAGTCTCCTATTTCTAAACACCTGCTTAGCATCCCTGACCACTACCCAGCAAATAAACCACCATTATTTCAAGATAGCTAAGACTGAGTTCATCTTTTCCCTAAGCCAGCTGTTTACTACCATCAACCTCCCAATCACTAAGACTTGAAAATGTGGAATTTCGCACTTGCTCCAACAACCAAGTAGCAAAAAATAATAAAAAACAAATTTACGTATTCTTTATACTTATCAATGAATTGCTTCCATTGTCACCACCTAGGCCTAGACCCCAAAACCTCATACTTAGAATAAGATAATCATTGAGCAATCTGTCAGTCAGTTTCCTTAATGCATCATTTTTTCATACATCATCACAGTCCTCACTGCTAAAAGCAGTGATTGTCAACTTGTGGCTGAGACTCTCCTCAGATGCTGCAAAGTGACTTCAAGGGGCTCACATATCCCACTGAACACACTAAGAATTGTCAATGCTGAGTCTCCCAAGTAGAGGAACCACTATCTTTATTTTTCAAATGTGCATAGATGTTCTTCTAATAACCAAAACACAAATTTGCTTATTAAAATTACAATTTCATCTTAACTTTCTCATTTTCTCAAGCCATTGATTCTAAAAGTACCATTACTTTTTCCCTGTATTTTATAACAAAAAGGTCCTCACTGGCCACATGCCTACTCTATCCTCAGGGAAGGTCTATTATGGATTCACAATGGAACTATGGGATCCTAAGACCTCAGCTTTTGGAGGGGAAAATGAAAGTGTAAAAATGTGTAAATGCATTTCTCTCCTTTCCTTGCCTTCTTTTTCTCCTTGGATGAAAACTGGACTTGGAGGACTTTGTTGGGGTATAGAAGGGCCTTGGGAAAAGAGAAGGCTGCTCACGCCTAACTCAGTTTTAGACTTAAAAGGAAAGGAATGCAAGGGCCCTGGATGTTTCTACACTGTCTCCGCTGAGCAGAGAGGGTGAGCAGATCAAGATTCTGGACAGAAGCTTTCATAAATGTTGTGCATTTGGCAGCTTTGTCTTCTCCATCCTATTTCCTAGAAACCTAAAAAAGATGGTAGAAAAGTGAACATGAATAGAAATGCAAAACAGGGGCAGGGGCCCACTACAAACAAGTTCCACATTCTTCGCCTTGCACTCCCATCAGCTGCTTTCAGTTCAGCCCTTGTGCCCAGTTCCAGCTTAGTCTCCCTCCATCTCCCCATGGACCATCTGCTAAGGGGTGGTGGTTCTCCTCCCTGCCTGCATATTCCATCACTGTATCTCTGCATGCAGAGCAGTGCCGTCAACCAGCAAGCCAAGAGAAGCACAGGATTATTTGTGTTGCCAATATCCACTGGCAGCAGAGTCACGCTAAAGCTCTACTTTTTGTTCATGTGTTGATTAGTTTGTCATGGTGAACACCCAGGCTGATTTGTGGAAACCATACCTCTGAATCATTTTTGATATCATGGAATGGAGAGGGAGGGAAAAAGGTAATGTGGGACAGGATATGGAGACAGAATTTCCATCTATTAGCTGTGAAACTTTGAGTCAGTTAATATCCCAGGAATTCAGTCCCCTCTGGGGTAACTCAGAATCACAGCTGCTACCTCATCTCAGTTACAATGACTAAGATGATGGATGGAAGGGTCCAGCATGGTACCTGAAACACAGTTGGCACCCAATAGGTGTTCCTACAAGAGGAAAGGGCAGATGAGAATTTGGGACAAAAACAAGGCCCATTATACCTATTCTATCTGATGTAGTGTAGGTGTGAATTATGTTTAGCCTGGGATTATATTTTAAGGATATCAACAGTAAGGCAGGTTGCTCTGACCCAGTCAAAGAGAATTCTCTGATCTGAGAGTGATTAACCAGAAGTGAATTAGCATTTACCAAGCTCCTATGGCACATCAGCCAGGTTAGCAAGCCTTTTATATATGTTTAATTTCACATTCACAACTACTCTGGTGTAGGTAGTAGTGTTTCTCATGTTTATGACCTTTAAAAAATATGGCTAGACGAGGTTCAGTAAACTGCTTGCATCCACAGTTATTAAACATCAGAGAGAAGACTTGCAACCAGGTCGAGGTGATTCTAGAGCATTTCTGCTATTTCTGAATCATTGAGATATCTCTCCTAAAGACTTCCCATGAAGTCACTCATCAACTTTCGTGAACACTATTATTGTCTAAAGTCCTCATGCATCACTATCCCTTTCTATATCCCAATAGATTATCTCATTTCATTACTAGAGAAGGCAACAAATGTTTACAAAACTCAAGTCTATATCTTTGAAATTATAAGTTTTGAAATGTCTGAAAAAACCAGGAATACCCTGAGAATAAGTGTAATGACTCCCCGTAGAGACTCTTTAGTAGTCACGTAAGTACCTAGAATTAGTACAAGTCAGCTCATGATGGGAGCCAGGGCTGCTTCTGGCTGGCTCGGTGCCTTTGGTCTTGGTGGCTTTGGTTCTTGGAGTCGGTCTGAAAGGTAACTTTGATTTCTGGAAAGCTGAATTTCCTCTCCTCACTTGCTGCAACAGGGAGTTGGTAGAACCTGTTTACAGCAAGACCTGGCAGGGTGCAGCCTTCAAAAACTGGCTCATCTATAAGGAAATAGTAAGTAAAAAATACGGATAAAATGATGACATTCTTTAAGAAACAGCTTTAGGTCCTTGAAAATTATTATTTCTGTTTGCCTGCAACTGTAAAAATGAGTTTCAGGTAACAGCTTTTCTTTTATATGGTACATGATAAATGACCATTTAAAACATTGACTCATCCACCAACCGAGGTATAAAAAAACATAAAAACTTACTGTGCTGAAAGGGAACTTGAAGACTGAAGTCACCTGATTCTTCAACCTGGTGATTACACCATGGGGATATTCATTTGTCTTTACTTCAACTCTGGAATTGTGTAAAATATATTTTCCCAGCCAAGAAAATCAAGCCCTTTAGCTCCTACACATTATATATTTTCCTTAACCCTGTATATGTGTTTTTCATCCAAGTTAGTATATCCTCTTGGACTTTGAAAACTGTGATGTTAAGTCAAACTGCCCATTAAAGCACCCGAGAGAAGTGGGGATACCTTTCTTTGCATACTTATTTGCCAAAAGAACATAAAAAATTTTACTCCCTTGTAAGGGTTAGGTCTGTCATAGCCTGGGCTGGGAGGTCACAGTCAATGCAGAGATCAATTCAGAAGAACCAAAGCAAAGAAAAAAGAGACACAAGTTCAACAGGGGAAAATATTTCTGTAAGCACTTATTACTATTTTTAACTCTTTTCAAAAATAAATATGATCACAGAAATAAATATCCCGTGTGCAATGTGCACTTAACCTCAACACTAGCAATATAATGTCTTACAATTAAAATGTTTAAAACAGAGAAGAGGAAAGAGTGGAAATGGGAGGAGAGAATGTAAATTTTTCTGGCATCAAGGGAGAGGGAAATCTGACTTTGAAAATTTCAACAAGTATTTATCTGGCAGATTACACAATTCATAAAATTCGACCAATTCAGCGTCTTCCTTTCTTAGGTTTAGGTGCAAGTGCTATGGGATTAATATTTTGGCTTTAGATAAGTGTTACTCTCCCCCTGCCCCAGCCAGAACAGGGTAAACTCTTTGTCAAATCTCTTCTTTCCCCCCATTAGTATATGGATTTTAAATGGATTTCCAAAACATGAAATAAGTGCTATTGGGGAATTAATGCTAACATTCACTTTTACTCTGTTGATTCCATTTCTTAAATAAGAATGGAAATATATACTTCTACCTGGGTATTAAAATATGGTGGAACTAACCCCCCAATCCTATCCTCAAAGATTAACTACTTATTTTCCCTTTTAGGTGCATCCTTAACTTTAATTAAACAACATTTTTATAAATCTATTTGCATATAAACAAATGACCACATTTGCTGTAACAAATGACCACAAACTTAAATGCTTAAAGCAACACTTTGTTATCTGTAGAAGTCTCTAGGGGCTAAAATCAAGGTGTCAGCCTTTTTCCTGGAGGCTCCGGAGAAGGACGTTTCCCGCCTTCCTTGGCTTGCAGCCCCCTCGCTCCACCTTTGAAGCCCAAAAGCACTAGCCGAGACCTTCTCAGGCTGTATCACTCTGACCTTCCGCTTTCTCCCATTTTCAGTGACCTTTGTAACTATAAACAATTGAGCTCGACCAGATTGTTCAGGATACTCCCTTTAATTTAAGGTCAGCTCATTAGCAGCAACCTTAATTCCTTCCACAACCTTCATTCCCTCTTTGCAATGTATAGTAACATATGTACAGGCTCTGGGGATATGGTCATGGACATCTTTGAGGGACCATTATTGTGTTTAATATATATATCAATATATATATCATACATATATCACACATACAATAGAAATGCTAAACTCTAAATACTTTTTATGTTGTTACTTTTAAAAAATATGTGCTTCTAAATTTAAAAAAATAATAAAATGTTATAAAAATATTAGATGCTTGTAGCTGTGTTTTAGAACAAGAAGCTTCACATTTAGAAAGGTTTGAATTTCTTTTAGAAATATGCAAACTTCACCTTCTCTTTTTGTCCGTACTTGGTGTGTTTTTTGTGTGTGTGTTTTTTTTTTGGTCCTCTTTGTTGCATCCTCAGGGTATCTAACACTTAAATTCAGTCCCCCAAATTCAATTTCCACAATTGGTTATCAGGCTTATATGTAAATACAGCCAACAGTCACTCTCAATCATTTCCCCGTTGAGTTCTTTCTTTTCATTCTTCTTTCTGTTGCCTTGGATTAACCTTCCTATATTTCTTTATTTCAAGATGGGGTCACGGATGTTGTACTTCCCGAGTCCTTGTGAGCTTAGAAATATCTGGTTTTGGTCCTTCTACCTGGATGGTGAGCACCTTGGGTCACACTTTCCTAACAGTAGGACTTTGTAGACATTATTCTAGAGTCTCCTAGAAATGAGCGTTGCTTGGAGAAGTCTGAGGTTAGCATGATTTTTCTATGTGATAGTTTGTTTGCTTTTCTGTCTAGATGACAGAAATCTTTTAAAATATATATTTAAAATTACTTAAAGTTTAATATTTTAATGTGGCTAAATTTTTATCATTTTTCCCCCTAGAACATGATATCTTTGTATACACTTAATCAATTTTCCCCTTAATTTCAGGGAAAGTTTCTACTTTTACATTGTGGAACTCTATTCTAGGATGCTTATTATAGATTACATAAAATCATCTTTACTTTCACTTTTTTATAGCACCTTATTTATAATTGCTTTTATTTCTTTGCCTTTTCCTTCTGCACCTATTGTGAAAATCTTAAGACTTCTCTATTTCAGGAACTATAGCATGACTGTGTTTACAAGTCTGGGGATGGGTTTCTAGAAACGGGGAGGCTAAACTGAGGTGACCAACATAAGGGGGCGATGGCATAGTGCCTTAGAAGCTGTGCTCCCATGTCAACATTGAACTATGCTTAGTTCTTTATAGCTTATAGAGCAAAACATCTCGCTTATCATTCACACAGTTTTAAGTAGACAGGGAAATATTATTCCAACTTTTCAGGTTTGTAATCAGCTGAATCACTCTCCTATAATTAGAATACTAATGTCAATATAGACAGCATTATGGTTTAGCTCACTCAGTCTTTTCTCCCTCGCCCACCTCCACTATAAAGTATCATTTTCCCAGCAATCCTTGCTGAGGTGGCCATGTAACATATTTCAGACTGATCAAGAAATTCTGTTGCAGGCATGGATTTGGGGAAAGCTTTTCTGATAAAGCAATGGGTGTGCTGATATTTCAGTCTCCCCCATTCTTACCCTCGCATAAAACCAGTGCCAAGAGATGTGGGCCAGGAACAATTCAGTTGATATTAGCCCTAACATGGTTGTGTCATGGAATCAATGACATCAGCTGCCTGCCTATCTCTAAACCCCTTATTCCTCAAGAAAAATAAGTCTTTCTTTCTCTAACCAGTATTGATAGTATTTTATATTACTTGTGGTCAAAGCATTCCTAATACTATCAACTAATAATAATGGAAATGCAAGGAGATGATTTAAGGTCAATATTATGTATAATTTTATCTTAAATTTAAATAACAAAAAAAATATTTATCAAAGAACTTATATGCATATAAGCGTAGCCCATGGACAAAGATAGTGTGGAGAAGGCATGGGGAGGCGGAGGGGACAGGGTGGAGGGGGCCAATGGAGAGAAAAAGGGAGACATCTGCAATACTTTTAACAACAAAGATTAAACCTATTAAATATAATAAATGACAAAGAAATAGTTTAAATGTTATAACTACTATTTTTATCCTGATAATTAAGATTAAGTTACCTCCCATAAGGAACTGGGACCTCACCTGGGAAGAAAAAGTTTTAGTTTTTAACTCATGGGCAAGTATTCAACATAAATAGTTCCAAGAAGAAAAATTAATATATACCAGTTGAAAGTAAAATATTAGTTTAATTCATTGTGTTTCCTAGTAAACCAGAAGGATAAGAATGACTGAAAATTCTTTGTGTACAAATCTAAATATTTTTCCTGATTTGCAAGGCTGTGCTAGACACTGAATGATTATTTTCATTTACATAGTATGAGCAATTCACTTTCTCATACATTTTCAAAGTCTACCTACACAAGAGATAAGAATTATGTTGTTTTATATTAAAATTGATACAATTTCATGAATCATTTTCATTGACTGATGATTTATAAACTATTCCCCTTCTGGAAAACCTCATTATTTTTGAAGCTCTGACTACTTTCCAAAAATAAAAAAATCCTAACTTATTAAGTATCCTACCATGTTGTGCCAATTTACAAGTTATGGGTGATATGGGCAAATCTTTTAATTGGTTTTGAATTGTGCAGTTTGCCTCAGAACTACATAAACATTAAATAAGTCAGAGACTAAATGAAACCTTATAACGCAGCATACCAAAATTGTTTAGGCAAGATTTTTTCTTCTTCTGGATAATCAGATAATTATACATAACTAGTCATCATTACTTCAAACAAATTATGTTCTGTTGAAGCATGAAAGAGGTTTCCTGGCACTATTTTGAGTTCAACTAATCTGATTGACACAATAGGTGTCTGTCGGCAAAACCTGTTTATTGGTGTTGTGATTTAGTTTATACACCATGTGTAGTTGCTGCTCTGTAGTAAGCCCTTCTTAATTATATCAGTTTTCAAATAAATATTTGTATCTTTTATTTTGAAAAATCACAGGTTCAGTAAACTTGGCAAATGAGTGCATATTTTGAATACAGAATGCTTTGTCTTATATTCAGTGCAGATTATCTGTAATAATACACTGCTTCGTGAGACAGCACTAGTGAAGAAAAGAGGGCCAGCAGTTGTTTGCTGTGCATTTAAGTACTTAAACAGAGGAGTCACTCTGCTTTCAGGCATTCTTGCCTGACTAACTGGCTGGAGCCAAATGGTTTGGAGTGAGTGCTGTGTCATGCCAATCTAGAGCATTAGTGTGGTTTGCGTGGCGGAAGAGTTTGTGTTGGGAGGAGGAGGGATTCTTTGGCTCTGTCTACAAAGATTAAGTGAAATGGAAAACTGAGGCATTTATCCAACTAATT